AATCCGTTAGACTAAAATTTCTTAACTTTTAAATGTTTGCCATTAAAAAGAGACTAAGCCGTATTATTGAAGCTTGTAAGGCGATGAATAACCGAAAGCAGTTCCTCGGGTAAAGTCAGCCTAACAGCAACGAAGTTCAGTATTTACATGCAGAACACTGTGGAAGGCTAAACCAATCTCCGTAGTGGAGGCACAATCGCAAGGTGGCAAAACATACTCCACTCTAACAGGAATAGCAACTGTTGCTAGCGCAAACCTTGGAAAACACTCCTAATACGGCTACTATAGACTTGGTTATCCAAGTACCAAATGGGTAAAATTCCTTATTCGTCGGCATTGTCCACTTACAACTGTTGAAACTGTTGATGAAAATTTCTTTTAATTTCACGCGTGCCGCTGGAATACCAGAAAAAAGGAAAATTTTAAAACTGCCACATATGTGGAGGGATCGCAGAGTTATCATTGTCGGAAGCAGTGCGTTGAAAAAGGATAGGTGGCACGGATCAGAAATGGATGGTACAGAAATGGACGAGGTAATTGAATCTGGAACTGCTAAGACATGTATGAGACGTACAGCGGCACGGTGTTAGAAACGTGCCGCTGAACGCCTTATATATGTCCTCCGTGAAGAACTGAAAATGAATCAGTGTAACCCATTTAATCTTTTTTGAGTCGTAAGTTATTATTCATTTTGCATAAAAATATTCGGTTGTAAAAATAGACGAGTGCTTATAAAAAAGAATATAAGGCCATTATCACTATATATGCAGAGTATTCCATGTATACTTGGATGTTTGGATAGCCCGTCATCACTGGTTGTGCTGCCTCACGTAATATCCATTCTCCGAAGATTTGATGGCTTAGACATAGTGGGTACCCTGAAGTCTGGGGGACCTATAACACCTGTAGTCCAACTGATCGTCAGGTGAATCGAGCGGGCGCCAGTAAATCTTCCATATTTCCCTGTCGCGTGAAGGAGTAGCTCAGTGGGTTCTGCTAGCTCTACGGACCCGTTGAGCATTATGGGCTTTGCGTGAAAAACTCTTACCATTGGGTCGGTGGTCTTCATGCAGTACGTTTGACACCCCGAGGAATCCAATCACTAATGGCTCTTGTCCATCGGTTGTCATTCATACGCATTACGTGTCCAGCCCACCTTATCTTCGACTGTTTGGCGCTCAGAACGGCATCTTTGATTTTTGCTCGTTGACGCAGGTCGGAGCTTCGGATCCCTTCCCTTACTTGTGTGAAACCGGACACTCCTAGCAACTTTTTTTCGACTGCGAATTCAATAATGCTAAGTGATCTTTCATCCTGTTTGCGCAGAGACCAGGTTTCTGGCGCATACCTTAGGGCAAGAAGTGCCGTTGAGTCGAAAAGATGGGCACGGAGTCAGGTGTTCTTTGTTTTCTTCACTACATCCTCGATGCCCTTGAAGGGTCCTTAAGTCTCTCTTTTTCTTCTGCTTAGCTTTGGAGCTAAGTCTTCAGCATGCTGGCTTTCCGGCCTAGATAGACACAACTGGAGAATTAGGAAATACTCGTTCCGCTGAGCGTGATTGGCGTATACGAGAACAATCCGTTCCTCATGAACAGCGTTTTTGTGAGATTTAGTCGAAGACCAATCTTTGCACCGGCTTTGTCGAGGTCGGCCAACATTCGCTTTGCTTGGCTAATGTTTGGTGTTATAAGGACGACGTCATCAGCAAAGCGAAGATGGAGTAATTGCTTACCATCGATTTTCACTCCTATCTTGACCTATTCTAGTATTCGCATAACGTTCTGGAGGGTGGTGGTGAATAATTTTGGCTAGATGGTATTGCCATGTCTAATTCCTCTTTTGACGTCGATGTTAATATCGTTGTAGAATGGTGATCTCTTTGTTGTGAAATTTTTGTAAAGCTTACGAAGAATCTTTATGTTCTGAGCAGTGACTCCTTGGCTATCAAGAGCTTTCTATGGCTGCTTCTATCACAGTCGACTCAATGGTCCTCTTTAAATCGATGAAAATGAGACAAAGTGGTCTTTTGTACCTTCGCGATACCTCGATGAGTCTTTTTATCGTGCGGATGTTATCAATCGTACTGAATCCTTTCGAGACCCTGCTTGCTCACATGGCTGCCCTTCATTCAGTGTTCTGTCGTTCCTGTTTAGGATGACCTGAGTGAAAAGTTGGTAGGCGGCAGACAGCAAGCAGATTGGGCGAGAATTGCTGATATTGTGGAGGCCACCCTGTCTGAACAGTATCACGGATTTGCTGGCCTTCCACTGAGTAGGGTCTTTGCATTTGGACAGGTAACGTGTTAACAGCCGGGGCAGTTTGTTCACGAGGTCTGGCGGAAGGTTCTTCAAGTGTTCTGGTCTTACCCTATCCGGACCTGGTGCTGCTCAATTTTTCACCGACGAAATAGCATGTCGGATTTCTGAAGGGAGGAGCTATGGTGCGACATATTCAGCCTCCTTTATTTCGTATGAGAGAAGCAGGACGTGGCTATTGAAAAGATCCCAGTAGTATTCGTGAATAATTTTCTTCACTGCATTTCTGGACGCTGTAGCTGTTTCGTCCGCGCTTCGGAGTGCAATCGCTTTGGTTTTGCAATTGGCGAAATTTTGGTGAGCTTTGCGAATGCTTTTCCCTGCTTCTACCGGTTCAGTCTAACTGCTGCTGCTCTCTCTTTACTATCTTTTATCACCTGTCTAAATTGCTTTTTAAAGTTCGGAAATGACTTGGCGGTTGTTTCTACTTCGTAGGATTCCACGCTGGCTTATCATCTCGTGCATTCCTGGAGACAGATGCCTCTTGGTGACTTTCGGGCTCTCAGTTTTCATAGCCCTCGCGTGAAGATGTTCAATGAGCCTATCGTATTCTTCCTCGGTGCTGCGGAGATATTTTTTCAACAGCCGACTAGAAAATTGAATAAGTCTCAGTTTATGGTGGTTCTGGGACTTGGTTTTTTGAATTCAGCCGCTTTTTCTCCTTTCTGGGGGAAATAGAATCTTGCACTAATGAGGCGATTGTCTGATTCCGCGTAGAATTTTGGGACAAGAGCAACATCGGATAGGCAAAACGATATTTACTATGATGTGGTCTGCTTCGTTACGGTAACCCCCGTTGGAAGACTCCTATGTCCAGCGTTGAGGGTGAGGCTCTTGGAATTGCGAGTTGAAAAATGATGAACTCAGACAGTCGTTCACCCTGCTCGTTCCATTCTAATCCGTGCATCCCAATGTGACGTTTTTCAGACGTTCCTCTTAGTCCAATTTTTGCGTTAAAATCTCTAATTACAACCTTGAAGAATGAATGGTCTTCTCTGTAAAATTTCTTCAAGGTCGTGTTGAGCACCTTGACTTCTTCTTCGTCATAATTTGGTGCCGGCGCTCAAACGACGAAGATTGTCAAAGCCGGTATTGATCCACATCTTTTCAATCGTAAACGTCCAATTCGGGTTGCTAGTCATTGGAATGAATCAATTTTCATGGACAAACTCGTGTTGACGAAAGCACTAACATCGATGACCCCTCAATGTTGTATGTTTTAAGAAACATTTCTTCTCCCGTGTCATAAGCGGCGTTGAATGGGTGGCATTGTCTCGTCTCGGCCAGCCCGGTGACGTCGTACCCTATCCTTCTTGCTTGCTTGATCAAGTCTTCTGTCGAAGACTTGAATGCAAGAGTACGTACATTGTAGGTGCAGATGGTCGCCTTAGTTCTTTGTGATCCAGGAAGTTTACATTGGCCCTGAGATTTCGGCAGCCTCTCCGCCCTCGTCCTACCCAACCTTGCCTAATTCCAGGCTCTTTCTGGGTTAAGGGAATAGCCCCTTTCCTTTTACTGCTTCAAGCTTTTTGATACCCGCGTATACGTATGGTTCGCTGGGCTGTGAACGTGGGTGCTGACTATAGTCACGGGTAGCTTGCTAGGCCCCTCCCCCTCCCAGAGTTGAAATGGAGCTTATTCGTTGGAGGCGACTCCTAACCGCCTCCCATATACTTCCCTGTTATTTGATTGCAGGCTTTTAGCCGAATTGACTCTTAGAATGCAATATGCATAAACTTGAACTCACTCAAACACGTTTGCATGAATATGTCTCGTAAATATTGCCAAATCGGCGCAGCAGAAAATGGGAATCCATCCCTGGATCCATCTCCGTCTCAGTGAAGCAAAGGTCGCTTTTGGTTCGCGATTAACCCCCTATCAGTCACTTTGGGACGCCCTACGTAAGCTCGCGTCTAACTGGCTATCGTGATCCCTCATATGAGGAGATGCCTGGGTCGCGTTATGAAATGCATAGAAAGATAGAGGGCAAAGCTCTCAGCGTTGATGAGTACCTATGGGAATCTCCAGGGATTCGATTTAATTAAGCATCATATTGTTTGAATGCATATCTATCGTAACAGGTACTCACAGTGTCCTACTGGTGTATCGAGTTAGTGCTACTGTCCTACCAGACAGGTCTGGGACGAATTTTCCGAACCCGGAGAGATGGAAAGCTTGGTGGGCCTAGGTACCGGTATCAATCCAATGTGTTTCATGGCACCTCCAACCACTGCGCTGCACGTGTCCCCATGGAGTGCATAGTGTATGACAATGCCCTTTTTATACTTAAATTTCACCACTATTATTGAGCACGCATTCCATTGTGCTATACATCGCCCTCTTTTCGGTTTCTGATTGATTGATTTCTTAAGAAGTTCTTCCTTACTTTTCTTCCAGCTGTCGTTAAGACAGGCCTTTTTCTTTATTATGCCCTTGGCCAAAACCCTCCGACACAAACTCCGATTATCGCCGTAGACATATCTTAGCTCATCCTGCCAAATATACATGAATTTCGTCACTGCACAGTGCGCTGCTTCTTCACTTACTTGTCCACTGGTCGTTTGATTCTACCATCAAAACCCTGTGGGTGTAGCAAACTCTCAACACAATTTGAAAACTTTTATCAGTAAATGTTGTTTTTGGTACGATATACCGGTGGAGTTGCGCACCGTTGCAAGGTTTGGGATGTACACCAGATTGGGTGTTGTCGAATATCCAGAGATTGATACTCATCGCACTACAAGATTATTCACCACTGATTTCAACAACACTTTCATCCTCTTCTTACAACTCATTTGTTTTTCAGGCTCTTTAACAAAAAGTAGGTGAGTTCCACGATGTTCTGCACATCCTAGTTTTCTCACTGTCACTCTCATTAAGAAACCGATTGAGGCCGAGGTTGAAGTCCTCATCAAATGAAACGGACGAAAGCCATATTATTTACTCCTTGATTATTAAGATTTGTCTAAAACGATTAAAAATAAAGTTTGTTACAAGTGTAAAGGGTGCTGATATAAAAATAAAATAAAATAAAATAAAAACAACCGAAAAGAAACAAGAAAAGGAGAAACAAACGGATCGAGCATATAATGACTACAACATCACAATGGGCGCATTACAAGCCTGAGACTTCTAAATTATCCTGAAGAGTGACAGAACATTCACTTTAATTTCTTTGATAAGAGATGTAGAAAATTTCACTAACTTCTTAATATTGCCAACTTTTGGAGCTATTGACTAGCCTTTGCTTACGATTCATGAGAGGTCGAAAGCATTATGTCGCTTAGCCCTCTATCTCAGCTCCTTAACATATCTGTGTAGCCAGCCCCCATGTTAAGATTTCAGTATAACATGCGTGGGAAGCAAGAGTTAACCACAATAAAATAAATAGTCCTCATTCCCCTGACTCTTAAAAGGCCCCCAATAGGGCAGCGTTGGATGGGGCATGTAGGAAGTGGCCGTTGAAATCTCAAGCCTGCCTGAATCTCGAAGGACTGAGATGATCATGTATGCTCTACAATGCACGGTCGCTTGCACCTGATTCCTCAGTAGAGTACTCGGCCATGCAGGCAAAAAGTATAGAGTACGACGTTGTCAAGCTGGGTGAGACGAGAAAAAACCATCAATTCAACGACTTCTGTGATACCACAGAATAACCGTTCCTTGAAACAAAAGATAATGGAGGTATCGGCTGCATAGGCGTTTATGTCAACACCAGTTTGGCTATGAGGAATTCGTTCGAGCAACTATCAACTCGAAGTAGAGTTTATTGTTGAAGAGATTTGGATCACTGGCGACTTCGGCAATCCTCGTCGTGCATGCACCGATATCAATTTGTGGAGAAAACAAAGTCAAAGCGTTCCGAAATATAGTTATATTAGCTTAAAGAAATTTTATAGAAAAGTCCAAACATTCTCTAAGTCATCATTGAAGTTTTTAACGCTACGATTGGTCCTAGAAGAACGTTTGTAGAGCGCCGCATTGGGAATCACAGATTAGAATGATAAGAGCGACTGATCATTATGACCATGATCACTCATAGTAAATCCCGATTCCAAAAACTCAGATGTCAACGTTGGACGTAGGAGACTTCCAGTGGAGAGTGACTTAGTAAAACAGACCACATCATAGTGAATCGAAGCTTTGGCTAGCCGACTTCAGTGCTCTCTTAGTGTTTTGTACGAAGTCGGACCATCGCCTCTTTTACGAGAAGAAACAACATGTTAGAGCATGAGTTGATAATATGCAGTCTACGTGGAATTGATAAATGGCTCTGATAAAAATTGCAAACGTAGCAGAAATAAATGATTTTGTATCGTTTTGTTGTTGTACTTCTTGTATCTGAAGTAGACTTAAGCTGTTTGAAACTCGCAATTAATTCAAAGCATAATTTTAAAAGTCATACCTTGCACATGTTCTGAGCAATTCAGTCATTTTAGTTGTTTACTAAATTTAGTCAGTATCTTGTGATTTCGCGTGTTTAGTTTTTCCTGACAGTTTAAGTTGGCTATTCGAGGACTTCTAATCAAAGAGATTTGGCCAGCCTTTTGTCTTTAACAGTCAATTCATCCACTACACCAGAACATACAGATAATTAAGATGTTAACAGGATTCACTGTGAGATTTTCGAAAAATTTTTGGATATGTACAGAAAATTAGTAAAGTTAAATTTCAGTTGACTGCGTAGGCTTCAGTAGTGTTGACCGCCACTCTACGTTGCGATTTCTGCGTAGGGACACTGAAGCCGCTAGCTCATTCTTCGTCCTGTTGGCGCGTGTATTCCATTGATTATTTCGAACGTATTACTGAAAAGTAGTACTTCTTGTCTTGCATAATCATAACATATACCGTTAGCAAACTTTTAAAATAAAGCTAAATACTTGTATATGGAGGATTCTGTAGAGAATGTCGGAGTTTTTATACCAAATCTATCGCATAAATCCCAATGACATCTTGTCTGCTAATTTGTTGTTTTTAACTTACTGTTTCCCGCTTATTATTAGACTAGGAAACTATCGCAACTCTTCGGAATCATTGCACCTTAGCTTTTTTCTAAAGTTTTTTTGTTGTTGCTATCTTTTGATGCTTACAATCCCAATCCGAATTTTCATGGAATCGCGTTTTGTGTCTCGATTATCGATGGCGAACCCTGACCAAAATTCTACAGTGATCAACAGAAATGTTTACAGATGGGTAATAAATACAATAATACCCTCGTATATCTCAATTAGTTCTATTTTTTAATGGAGTTTTCAGGTAGAGCCTGACCTGCTAGCAAAGGTGCTGCAGAAAAATGCCTGCTCAGAAACAATATCACCCAACGAAGGTGTGCTTGTTCTGGACGAGAATATGAAAGTCTGGGAAGGATTTCATCACGCCACTTTGAATGGTGCCAGTTTTGTTTATTATTTTGCACCTTATGTATATATATCGGTGCGTGTCCCGCAGTGGTCACAGGCGTCCTGCAATACACATGGGATCGATTCCCGCGCTCTTGGTCCACCAAGCCTTCCATCCTCCGGAGTGTGCAAACTGGTACAGACTTGTCTGGGAGGATAGCAACACTGGCTCGACACATCAGTGTGCCACCGCGGGTCACTGGAAAGGCCAAATATGCATTCATTCACCTCCAAGCGATGCTTAATGAAGTCGAATGCATGGCCCATTCCTGAGGGCTAAATCCGCGCTTACAGCTTTGTACTCTCTTACATATATATGTGTACATAGTTATACGTATGTATCTAAAAATTTGATCTGGAAAGCTGTGTTTCAACGTTTGGGCTGCAATATTTATAGGATCTCGCCGTATAATTTTGTTCAGTGGAGGAATCCATTGTATAATTACCGGTGTTCTATCGGCGACGGACTTTATTCGTGTTATTTTAAAGATCTTTCGGTATTCTTCACGTTTAAATACAGCAATCATAATAAAAATTAAATCCTTCTTCCGTTTACAGAGAGCCAAATTTCATTGGCGAGGACGAAAGAAAGGATTTCAGTCTCATTACGGTCAAAAGATACCAAGGAAAGCGTTATTACATTTTATTGTATAGTATTCCATTTTATTTCGAAACAACAATTGCAGAATTGGTTGCGAAAACCACAAAGCGTAAAACGATGATGTGGATTACCACAGTAGAGAGGCAGCTATATTATTATACTCTAATTTCTTCTTTTACAAGTTTTTTTTCTCTTTTTCTTATTTCTCTACTTTACTCAATTTGTATAATTTTTCTTCTCACCAAATATTCATTAAATTTTCCAGCCTTCTTGAAGCCGTAAGGATGCTAGCCACCTATCGAGTTCATCGTCTTCCTGTGATTGATCCAATTTCATTGGACCCTGTGGGAGTTCTCACACCTAAACGCATTCTGAGGTTCTTATGGCACCATGTAAGTTTATGGTTCTTGTTACACAAAATAGCCACGAAAGGAAGATGTTGTTGTTAAAGTCGTTATTCGGTTTCTGTTTCCCAAGTGGTGTCCTTATGTTTTAGGGGCAAGATATCTTCCAACCAAGTCATTGTATCAAAACTCCAAAACAACTAAATATCGGAACATGGAAAGGCATTCATGTCGTATGTTTTTTTTTATCTTATTTAAAGTAATTTGGTCAAGCCGTAACCTCTAAGGTTTACCCTCATACTCCTTTGATTGATTGCTTGGACATTCTTCTTAATATGGGTGTCTCCTCAGTGCCAGTTGTCGAACATCTTACTCTCAGGTATTCGCGTTAGACTTCAACTGCTCAATCATCCTTCCGTTTTGGAATACATACTTTTGGAAGTATGTCTCATCCATTCAGAGTTATTGACGCATATTGCCGTTGTGATGCAATGAACATTGCCATGCAAAATGAAGACTTTAAGCTTAAAATAAACGTGAAGCAAGCGCTTGAGTTCAAAACCTTCGCTACGGTAGGTTGTTTCTTATTCATTCCCGAACTTACCAACATCCATTATTTCCAATTAAATTTATAGAAGCACATAAACGCCTATGCAGACAATTCTAAATAAAGTCGAGCTTTTCAACTGCAATTTTTGCATGGCTTGCGGCTTAACGTGGTCGAATATGGTCGCAATGCCAAGTGATTTCAATTTGATAATCAGTAGATTCTTGAAGAGTTCTTACTTCCACCAAGCAACTTTTTCGAAGTGAACGTCGCCTATGATCGCCTCAGTATAGAAGAGTTATAGTTTCTTTATTTCCTTTATTTCTCACTAAACAACACTCTTCTGCGTACGGAGAATCGCATACTAGGTGGTTCCCCGTCAGCGGAATATTTGAGATGAACGATAACGATTAAGTAAATAATAGTTCTGACAAAAAGAGTTTAGAATAGTATATAATACATAATCACTGCCAATTTTCAATTATTTTACATGTTAGGAAAATTTTAAAAGTAGTCGAATTATGTGCTAACAGGTTTACGGAAGAGCGTGTTGATTTCAATGCTGCTGATACGAGAATGACGGCCGCATTCAACTTAAAATCCACGTATTTCAAATCATATTTAACTGTGCTATTTGAAATAAGGATCACTAAATCTTTTATTGGCAGCGGAGTAATCCTCTTATTATCTGGCATTATAGTCCACCACTTCCAACAGTTTACCGCCCTACTGTGGCTGGGAGGTGTTTCTGGGGTGTCCGGCTGCGATATAAAGCGGGTGATTCATCTTCACGGCACGGTCTTTCAAGTTGAGAAAGAGTCCGGCGTTTCCATAAGGTAGCCCAGCTAAGAGTGAACCAATACCAGGATCCACTACCGTCCTCGGTATCAAACTAGTCGCGTGGTGGCAAATCTCCTTCTGATCCACAAGGGTTGCGACTACCTGTGGTGGTGACGACCTGGGGCAGACAATCGGCAGGCTGACCTCGGGACTCTAGGACCGAAAAATAGAGAATGTGCTGGTCTCCTCCACATTTAGTGACGACGGGTCGCCCAACTACCTAAGTGAGAATGGTCTACCATACAACTACACTGTTGCCATCATTTGAATGTGTTTTGCGACTTATTTTGCGTCTATTTCTGCACTTTCCATACTTTTCGTTTCCATATGACAATCTCTCAGTAAATTTCATAAAAATTACTCATCTTTGCTAACCACCGAGTACAAATTTGAGGTAATGAATTGCATGTATGGAAGGACTGCAACTTTTAAGCAAAAGATACTAATTCAGTGCAAAATACGTAACTCATTTGTATAAATAAAGCACAACTTGTAGACTGTATTCTTCACACCGAAATGCTCTGCCCAACATCCGAAATTCGATTCCCAACTAAAGCCAACTATATTTTTGCAAAATACATCATGCTTTGCACACCCTATTCGACAGCAGTGGTCTCTTGGATTAATTTGTGTGGAGAAAGCTCTCTTTTGCAAATTATTAAGAGTAGAGAACAGCTTACCATTCGCCATGTCTGACGCGGAACCTACGTTGTAAAAGCTACAGACCGTGCGATCAAAAAAGTTTAGTGTTTTGCAAAGCAAAACACCGAAAAACGAAACGCATTTCGTACGCCTGCACTTACGAATGCTCTGCACCCAATGCAGCTTCCGCGTCAACGAAGCAACGCATTATGATCTTTTCATGAACACGGCCGCTGTCGCATAGCACTCCCATGTCACTGGAGCGCGATTGACATACGCATTGAAATCTAGGTGTGGGATCAGAAGAGAACAGCAGCGTAAATATTGAAACCAACGGGCGTGGTCGTGAAAAGCTTAATGTAGTGCCAGTGAAACATTTACGTGATTGGGTTTCAAAAAATTTAGAGAAGTAAAATTTTCGCTACTATATAATCTACAAGCAGGAGCTTCAAGATTTTTCCTCGTAGGATCGTGCTTGTGCAGTTATCGTGAGTGAAGCCGAATCGTTTTATAAAGTGATTTGCAAGTTGGTCGAAACTAATGTTCATCGAGCGTTCATCATAAATTGCAGCAGCGTTATTCGGGTTTGTTTGCTTATTCGCACTAAATTTTCTGTGAATGAACAAATAGCAAAATCTGAAACTTATGATTTGTTTTAGTATATTGCTCAAAAAACTTGACAAATTTCGTTGTTAATATGATTCGCCTCCCAGCAGTTTACTGCGTCATCGTGGCTGGGAGGTGTTCCTGGGTGTCGGACTGCGATGTACAGCGGGGGATTCATCCCCTGGCAGGGTCTCCCAAACTGAGAAGAGGACCGACGCTTCCATCAGGAAGTCTAGTTAAGAGTAAACCAATACCAGAATCCACCACCGTCCTAGTATCAAAGTCGCTCGGTGGCATATATCCCTCTAATCCACAATGGAAGCGACTGCCTGTGGTGGTAAAGTCCTGAGGAAGACTGGTCACGCTGACCTCGGGTTTCCTGGAAACCACAATGGCTTGACCAGCAAATCTCCGAAAAGCGGTGATTATGCTGGAGCCTGCAGAACCATTGAAGACGGGCCGGCCAAGCTGAGCTAAGTAGGTAAGTAATACAATTCGACCACGGATCTCCCTCATACAAGGAAAGGCAATGGTGAAAAACACACACGGCTACTACTCAGATCTCTTCAGTAGCTACGTCCTCTTTCCTCATTTGAAATAAAAAAGCCGGTTCTCTCTTCCGAAATCCCATATGCCATTTTGTTGGTGAAAAATCGGACAGCACCAGGTCCGGAGAGGATAAGATCAAAATCCCTGAAGAACTTTCCTCCAATCCTCGTAAACAAAGTGGGTCGGCTCCTGTACATGTTACCTGTATGAATGAACGGTCACTATTTAATGGAAAACTACTATTGCTTAAGAAGAATGACCGTCAAAATATCGGCAAATATGGCCCAATCTATTTGCTGTCTGTGGTCTACAAACTTTTCACTCGAGTATGCCTAAACCGCGTTGACAGAACACTGGACTTCGCCCACAGCCATGTGAGCAAGCAGGGTTTCGAAAAGCATTCAGTACGACTGACCATATCCACAGGCTAACAAGGCTCACTAAACTATCGCAGAAGTACAAAGAACCGCTCTGTCCCTATTTCATCTATTTAAAGATGGGTTTTTACTCAATTGAGATATAAGGAGTCATTGAAGTCCTGGACAGTTAGGGTATCTCTAGCCACTATATAGAGATCCTTTGTGAGCTGTACAAAAATTTTACAACGAGGATATCGCCATTCTATGACGATGTTAACATCGACGTCGAAATAGTGGTTATGCAAGGTGATATCATCTCGCCAGAATTATTCACCGCCACCCTCGAGAACGCCATGCGATTAGTTGGATGGGATAACATAGGAGTTAAAGTCGATGGTCGGCAACTACACTATTTTTGCTTTGCTGATCGTATCGTTCTTGTAACACCAAACATTAGCTAAGCGCAGTAAATGCTTGCCGACTTTGATGAAGACTATAGAAAGATTATTCTTCTATTAAGCTTTACAAAAACAATATTCATGAGGATCGGATTGGTTTCGTACCCCCCATTCGCTCTCAACGAAACGAGTACCTCCGAACCTTGAAATCAACATGATGAACGACTTAGCTTTAGAGTTTAGCGGGAGGAAATGAGCGTCTTGAGAAACTTTCAAAAAGCATCGAGGTTGTAGTGAAGAGAACAAAGAATACCTGGCTCCATACCCATGCTTTTGATTCAGCGGTACTTCTTGCCTTAACGACTGCATCAGAAACCAGGACGCTGCCATAGAAGAGTGAAAAATCACTGTGTTGTTGAAAGCGCCGTCGAAAGGACGATGCCAGGAGTATCCCGTGTCACATAGGTAAGGGAAGGAATCCGAGGCTCCGACCTGTGTCAACGATCAAAATTCAAAGATAGAGTTCTGTATACCAGACAGTCGATGATAAAGTGGGCCAGACACGTAATGCGTATGAATGACAACCGATGGACAAGAGCCGTTAGTGACTGGTTTCCTCGGGATGTCAAACGTACTGCAGGAAGACCAACGACCAGATGGCCAGAGTTCCTCACGAAAAGACTAAAAGAAAGAATTGGTGCTCAACGTGTTTCTAGAGCGAGCAGAACCCACTGGGCTACTCTTGTACGCGACAGGGAAAAATGGAAGATTTACTGGCGTTCGCTCGAGTCACTCGACGATCAACGGGTCTACAGGTGATACAGGTGATGTGATTCGAACCAATATGTCCAATTTATGGCACTTTGCCTTCTACACATAATTCAGTGTATCTATAATAGGTACATGATACTTTCTTGTAGCCAGAAACGAAGCAGGTTTGAAGAAGAAGAGCCTAATCAGCACTTTTCTCATGATTCGTTGTCGGCTTTTGTATAGGACCGGCTTGGTGACTGGTTTGTGAGGTGCTTCTAGTCTTAATGCCGCATATGAAAATCTCTTTAAATATTTTACTATTTTCTTTAGTCATTGAATTAGAAAACCTTTAGTACAAAACGAAGATAAATCATGAAAAGAATTGAAGGGTTCGAATATCACTGAGTTATGGGTAGTACGCACTGTGAAATGTAGATGTAGACCTACATATTTGCAATGTTAATTGGGCGTTCTTCAAATATTCTTTCCTCGACAATAATTTCTACATCTGCTATAGAGTTTTTTGCGATCATTGATGAAAGCCACGCTTAAGGGAATAGTCTCGATCTCCGATGTGATGAAAGCTGTGGTTCTCGAGCCTGGTAGCCACCTAAATTCGTACTGCATTTCACATAGACGGTTTGCAGAATTCCTCTTTGAAACGCCAACCATGGTTAGCTAGGAGCATTAAATTTCGAAATTCCGAGCTACATAGAATTGAATTTCAGGAGACTCAGGCAGAAGAAGTGGATAATGAGGACACGAAGACTTCTTGCACGAGTCGCAGTTCATCTCGTACACTTTCTTAAGAACATCTCATTCACCAGTTTTTGTAGCTTTGAAGTTTCTGCACTACTTTATATGGTGTTTTCTGTGCGTTTTAGGACTGGTATTTGGAAGCTGTTTTTTGTAATGTGGTCTAATATCTTTATCATTTACTGTTATCCTGTGTTCCGTATTCTTTCAGTATAGTTCTTATGAGGGTTTTTTTTTACCATTGTGAACTCATTGTTGTTTGCTTTTAGTCGTGATATCACCTCAAATCTGTTTCTGTTTCACTATAAGGCGAATGATCCGGCTGGAAAGCAAGAGATTTACTGTCGAAACGAATAATAATTTTAATAAAAGTCTGAAGATTTTGACGCAGTTTTTTAGATAATTCTAAAAGATTCTGGAGGGATTGTTCTGAGGGAATTATGTAGTTCCTCTGTGGCTGTGATCCACCTGACCACCGAGTAACAGTTTAAGATAGCCAAATTTAAGCAATTTCGGAGAGGCTAGTTTGAAATATTTCGTCATAGTAATTTTTTTCACTGTTACTGCATATCCTCGAAATTTGCACTTTTCTGGCACTCAGATTATCCCTGTAACTTCTTAATGCGGCAATTATCATCTCAAATTTACCTCGCTTAAAAATTTTCTATATAATTGTGCTGAAAAACTCTTATTCAGCTACCGTTTTCGCTCCTTCGTCTTCTTCAGAGCAGCGATGGTCTGGATTGATGGCCCACTACTCAGTGATATACACAACTATTGATTATTGTTACCGAGGCTTTATGAAAGTCGGCTTTTAATATACTTCCACGCCACGTGATAGCAGATGAAGTCCTGACAGGTAGAGGACGCACTGCCCTTCAAAATGCAGATCATATTGGATGGAGGAAATACATTCACATCTATCCAGTATAGATGGACACCGTCTAGCGAAGTTCTCCATTCTAGCGGTGCTCCCTCCAAGGGTTCTACTTTATGTGACAGTGAACACTCACACTACGACAACGACCAACTGTTGACCATCTTCTCCGATCAACGCAGCTCTGAAAAAGGCGAATTTGCCAAAACGATAGGTAGATAGTATAATTGTTTTAGGTCAACGTTGTGTTAGCCCAAGCATGTGGAACATTATTGATTATTATTACCGAAGTTTGTGACAGTCGGTTTTTAAGATATTACTATGATTATTCAATGATGCTGAGATATTTGCGAAGCACAGGGCTGCAGGTGTCTGCGGTGGGGAACGAACGCGCTGTTCTCCTCACCGGGGAGCAGCGCACTTCATCACCACACCATGCGAGTCCTTCGTTTCGCCTGTCTCTCAGCTAGTTCTATCGATCTTTTGCCATCAGCAATCACCCATCAACGGGATTGAGTTTTGCAAATATCTCATCATCATTGAAAGTTATATTTCGCAATATACCCTGCCGTTAAAAAGAATAGGCAGTAAATAATAAGTTAAAATTACGATTGTTCAATTATTCTCTGCAAAATTTCCTTTACTGTTTCGACGTATTCGTCCTTTTTGTGGACGGTTTGATTCAATTCGATTATCCACAGTTGTTTGCTTTGCGTTAGGGGGTCTTCGTTATCGCATTGAGTCGTATACGTTAGAGTGAAGCACCCACTGCCCAAATAAAGCAACATTATTCGGCAATAGAAAATATTTTTTCCTTAAAGACTGGAGACAACGTTCCTTACTGTCCGGTTTTCGGTAACTTCAAGGAAGGTTTGTCACCTTTTGACTAAGTTGCTACAGCTACGGGAATAAGAGTGGTTCATGACGTTGGCTTAGTGCTTTCGAATGAGAGTTTGGACTATTACTCACAGGTTGAATGTAACGACCCTTCTCTCCCTCCTCCTTTGTGATTGCAGTAGAATAATTTACGCTGACAGTTATTTTGTACCGTTCTTCTGCTACCACCGACCTTGAAGTAATAGGTATGGAACCTCATGAGGCTACGTGTTTTGTTTCAAGGTAGCAAGACAAAGTGTTTACTCTGCAAGCAGTTTCTACTTTCTATAATAACGTATATTTCCTATATTAACTGTTTGCTTGTAATTTTCCTCCCAACGACAATGATGCTGAGATAATTGCAAAACTCCGGACCGCAAGTGTCTGCAGAAAGGAACAGGCACGCAATAACCCTTTCCAGGGGCTAACGCGTTCACTACCACAGCATGTGGATCGCTCGTTTCGCCTGTCTATCAGCTAGTTCTATCGGTCAGCTCCATCAGCGTCCTAATGACGGGTGATGCTGATGGCTAGTTCGTTTCCCCACAGCAGACAGTTGCAGTCCGGAGTTTTGCAAATATCTCAGAATCATTGTGATTGTTTCACACGTAATACCCTGCCATAAAAATTATAATAGGCCGTGAATAAAAATGTTAACATATCCTCCCAACGGTTCACCGCCTCATCATGTCTGAGGGTGGTCCTGGATGTCGGGCCGCCCGCAATGTACAGCGGCGAATTCGTCCCTCAGGCAGGATCTCACAAGATGAGAAGCAGTCAGGCGTTTCCATCAGGAAGCTTAGCTAAGAGTAAACCAATACCAGAATCCATTATCGTCCCAGTATCAAACTTGTCGCGTGGTGGCAAATCTTCTTCTGATCCACAACGCCGGCAACGACCTGGATCAGATATTCGGCAGGCTGACCTCAGGACTCTAGGAACCTCGGAACCACATTGACCATGCTACCAAAAATATGGAAAAACGGCATTTATACTCGGGCTCGCACAACTAGTGAAGACAGGCCATCCAGGTAATCAAGTAAATACTTATTATCTTAAATCTGCACTCGCATTTTCTGTAAATTGTCTCTTATCGATCATCTCATGCAGTTGTCTCACAGCTGAGTGGGAAGGGATTCTGTAACTTCTCTGTATAAACTGCTCTTCTTTTTCCGCCAATTCGGGCACTTCATGAGCAGCTGTCAACTGCATGTACTTTCCAGCATCTGCCGTTCCATCGAACTTTTTGTATAAGCCACTGCATTACTGTCACATGCATTTTTTCGTAACCTATTGTATAAAGGATAAAAGGATAAAGCTTTTCGGGTGGACCAGTTTCCGAGAGATACACCATGCATTCCACCTTATTAAGCATCCTTTGGAGGTGATTGAACGCATATCTGGCCTTGATGACTCGCGGTGGCCTACTGATGCATCAACCTAGTGCTGCTATCCTCCCAGACAAGTTTAGCACCAATTTGCAGACCCCGAAGGGATGGAAGGTTTAGTGGGCTGTGAACAGGGGAATCGATTCTACGCGTGTGTTGCAGGGCGCCTCCAACCACTGCGCCTCACGCGCCCAAACTATTGTATAGACTTCACAAACCTTCTGTCCAAGTAGCTCTATCAGAGTGTACTAGCTGAAAAGATTCCAAAACCTCTGTCTGAGCACTGCCTCTATTTCTCTCTGTAAAAGCTCCACTCAGCACAGATGGAATGTAAAGAGCATTATTAGTCATAAAATGAGTGTCTATCTTTGTCTCTTGTGTTCCAGTCTCTAGGGGTCCAGGGCCTGTGTTCCGGTACATCACTCTACCATTGTCCAAACTCTAGTGTTTACCCAATTTCCTTCAAGTGTTTCATTTATTCACGCTCAGAAGAAAACGAGCGGCATGGAAAGCCTTCAAGAGCATCGAGGATGTAGTAAAGAGAACAAAGAACACCCGACTCCGTGCTCACCTTTTCAACTCAATGGTACTTCCTGCTCTAACGTATGCGGCAGAAACCTGGTCGCTGCGTAAGCAGGATGAAAGTTCACTCAGCGTTATCGAACGCGCAGTTGAAAGGATGATGCTAGGAGTATCCCGTTCCACACAAGTAGGGGAAGGGATCCGAGGCTCCGACCTATGTCAACGATTAAAATTCAAAGATAGCGTTTTGTACACCACAGAGTCAATGATAAGATAGGCTGGAAACGTAATGCGTATGAATGACAACCGATGGACAAGGGCCGTTACTGACTTTTTCCTCGGGATGTCAAACGTACTGCAGGAAGACCACCGACCCGATAGTCAGAGTTCTTCACAAAGTGTCTTGACGAAAGACATGATGCTCGACGAGTCCCTAGAGCGAGCAGAACCCACTGGGCTGCTCTTGCAGGTGACAGGGAAAAATGGAAGATTTACTGGCGCCCGCTAGAGTCACTCGACGATCAACGGGACTACAGGAGATATGGGTGATACAGGTTTCACTTATCCTCATTTTAATTACGCTCGTGCTCGTTTACTCAACTAGCTTTTATCAGGTTATCTACCTTGTATTTTTGTTAATGGTTCAAACAGTTGTAGCCAAGCTTGAGATTTTTCTCCGTGATTATGTCAAAAAGTTTCCCGTGGCGAGCTCATTCAGAGTCGAGCATTATACTTCGAGTTACTAGTTTTGTTAAAAAGAAGACCAAAAAAAAAACAGCAAAAAAAGTAACCCTCAGCGATGTTATCTCTTTGTATACACACATATGTATGTATTGTTAGTTTATGAAAATTATGTATAATCCAAAAGCGACAAATGCTTTGGAGCAATAAGCCAATAAAGACGACGTGGAATTTCGACTAAGCCTGCTACAACTGCATTAATCACGATGTAATACCTAGAGAATTATTTGCCGAAGGTGAAGACGAGGGAGAAAAGGGAAGTGAACACTGTATGTGTTTATTTATGACCGCTATCTCTCTAAAGCCAAACATTCAACATGTACTTTTTGGTCTTGGAGAACAGATAGTCTTAGAAAAAAGTAGACACCTCTGGAAAGGAATGTTGCTCGGTTTTCGTATACCTACCAAAATGATAAAATGCAGGCGCTCAACTCATGCAAGGCTGTTGAATATCGTTTCAGAATCAACTGACTCAAATATTACACGGCCCTTTAAATTCATTCACTTTTAGCTCATTAAAGATTCAGATGAGTTATGAAAAGACCGTGAAGTATTCATGAAGTTTTAATCCGAAATTCCGTGGTTATTTTAGTAATAAACGATGTTGTGGAATATTTGTCGCAATTTTTTTACTAAATGAGGACAACAG